AGGATGTCGCTTTAGGAGACCTATGTCAGTATCGGTGACCTTGCTCTATAAATATTTATGATACTTCTTACGTTTATGGTAAATATTAGGTGCGCAACTAAGTTCCCGCTGTTTGTCAATAGATGGTTCCAGCAGTAAGTGCTGGTCGATTCTGACATAATCTAAACGTCATGAACCAAGCTTAGACATATGGTAAACAAACCGCTTCGACACATTAGTGATTTTGTTTTGACATTATATTCTTTTGGTTGTGTGAAAATGTCTGATTTTGTGCCAAATAATCGTCATATGCGGGAAGTATTGATTTTCTTCTTTCATTCGAAGAAAACGGCGGCTGAAGCGCATCGAGAGCTCCAAAAAGTTTACGGAGATGCTGCTCTAAGTGAAACAACGTGCCGAGATTGGTTCCGTCGCTTCAAAGACGGTGATTTCGATGTTGACGACCGTCCGCGTGAAGGAAGGCCAAAAACCTTCGAAGACGCTGAATTGGAGGCATTGCTCGATGAGGATCCGTGCCAAACGCAAGAAGAGCTTGTTTCAGTATTAGGAGTTACCCGCCAAGCCATTTCCAAGCGATTGCATGCGTTGGGAATAATTCAGAAGCAAGGAACTTGGGTTCCTTATGAGTTGAAGCCAAGGGACGTTGAGCGTCGTTTTTTCGCCTGTGAACAACTGCTCCAGCGGCAAAAAAGAAAGGGTTTTCTTCATCGCATCGTGACGGGTGATGAAAAATGGATTCATTACAGCAACCCAAAGAGAAGAAAGTCATGGGGGCTGCCCGGTCATGCTTCTACGTCGTCGGCTCGGCCGAATATTCACGCTGCGAAGGTTATGTTGTGTATTTGGTGGGACCAGGTCGGTGTTATTTATTATGAGCTGTTGAAACCGAACGAAACCATCACTGGGGAACGGTATCGACTTCAATTGATGCGATTGAGCCGAGCACTGTGCGAAAAACGGCCACAATACGCGGAGAGGCACGAAAAAGTGATTCTACAGCATGACAACGCTCGGCCTCACGTTGCAAAACCCGTTAAAACCTATCTGCAAACGCTGAAATGGGAAGTCCTACCCCATCCGCCATATTCTCCAGATATTGCGCCGTCCAATTATCACTTGTTCCGTTCAATGGCACATGGTTTGGCTGACCAGCAGTTCGACTCATATGAAGACATCAAAAAATGGCTTGATTCGTGGATAGTCTCAAAAGATGAACAGTTTTACCGTAACGGTATTCGAGCTCTGCCAGAAAGATGGGAAAAAGTAGTAGCTAGCGATGGGCAATACTTTCAATGATTCATTTGTAACCATTTTTTCACAATCAAGTTGCATTTTCATCAAAATAACAGCGAGAACTTAGTTGCGCACCTAATATTTGAAAACAAAAAAAATGCGAATAGTTCAATTCACACAGACTTCCTATTTATACATTATTTGTCCGCAAAAAAAGATGTGAAAGTAGGAAATTCATGTTTTTATGCAAATGCAGATCTATATGTATAAATCATATATATATATGTATATTATGTAATGGTTACTTAATATGTGATGATTTATAATTTTCTTTTACTTTTAAATATGTTACATATAACTATATATATTTTATAAATATTATTAAACAAATTTTATTTCTTAAGTTTAAATACTTATACGTTATGATGGTATAATCAATCCATTTTTCTCAGTGTAGAATATCAAAATTTATATAAATCACAATTTAAGAAAATGCACTTTCCATGGAATTACAATAAGAAACATACAGTTGTTTGACACATTTCTACGAAATATGAAATTGACATTTTCGATGTGTGATATCGTGTTTATACATATGTATATAAATCATACATTGCTCGTACATGCACGTGAACACATTTATGATTATGTATATCTACTCACAGCATATAAATTTATGTAATAATTATATCTGCACAGACATGATTAGTTTTATATCACAGTTAAAATACAACTCAAACCTGCAATTTATTGTAAAACTAAATTATCACTTGTTTAGAGGTATCTATGAATATTATGGTGAAAATTTTTCTTTTATTCGATTTATAATATTACTTTTTTCAGATATTATTTCTATTTTGTTATCTCAATAATAAAAATTATTTAAAATAAGTAAATTATTCAAATTTCACTTTATTGGGAATTCCTTAGTATCATTGAATTATATTTCTCGAATCGTTTTACTTAGAAATTTTATACATTTTGAAATGTCGTATTTTACTTGGAAATATTCATACAATTAATATACGATGCAATATGTGCAGTTACCCCGGATAACACAAAAATCGGGATATAAAATGTTTTTAAAACATTTTTGCGAAAATCATCTAAAAAAATGTCTTAAATATATCTAAAAATCATTTTGTGTCCCGATTTTAGACTTCGTATTAATGTCTGGGATACTATATTTGTATATATGTTTATAAAATTTTAACAAATATAATGAAAATTTTGAACATTTTATCTGTATTTATATAACTACATTCATACACATTGAAAAATAAAAAATATTTATTATAAGCAAACTTTATCAAAGTATTGTGCAAATAAGGTAGATCTCTCAATCTCTTTACAACAGATTACGGCGGCGAACTAATGACGAACTTGATTTAAATAACCGGTTTTAAACATTTTCTGAGTCAGGTTATAAAAATTTTCATAATAACATTATAATGTCTTTCTGTATCTTCTTGTGTCTTTTAATTATTAGCTTTTTGTTATTACAATATATAACTTCTTTTTATTCTGTTTTTTACTTAAGACTACTGTTGATTCAAAATTGATGTAAAAAAAGGATATTTATAGATTTCAAAATCGGTTATAAAATAGCTAATTGGGGAATCGTTTGTGTGCATAAAAAGATTATTAGAGAAAGGAAAAAAGATAATTATTATTTACTCGTATTCACGAGCTTTAGATTCATATTAGTCTTGGATTGAAATTTATAGTTAATTGATCTACAAAAAATCTAATTATTGATTTTTTATTTTTTAAACAAAAATTATTTGATTTCTCTATATAATAGTAAATAATATACTATATGTTAACTTACTATAGTGGACTTATAATAGTATGATATAATTATGATCACATAATTTTTATACATTTGGAGAAAATTTGCGTGTTATATATAATTCTTATATTTTTTCGTTAAAAAAAAAAAACCGATAGCTCACCGAAAGTATATACGCAAAACAGCACAATTATTGTAACAGCAATCCACGAGACTCTCACAAACATCTTGAAGATATATTGATGTTGCTGATCCGCGAAAAGCAACGTTACTGCTGTGTGAGATGATCCACACTTCTCGATGATTGCTTTTTTACGCCGCATGATGAAGGCGAGAAGCAAAATATAGATACGATGATTCAGAATGAGTGGGAAAAGGAAAAATCATTTGAAACGGCTATGACTGAAAAATTTTATCATTGTTGCATTAAAAGGAAAAGAGAAGTTATGAAAATATGAATTATAAGTAATGAAAAATTAATCGAAGCACTCTGATGCTCAATATTAATTCAAAATCATTGTTCCAATCAATTCGTCTCGAGTAAGATTTTTTAAAATATAGAATGAAAATATAATTTGTAGAAAATCTATATATACACATAAAAATAATTGTAATAATTTTGAAAAAGATGTTCCATAGATGGTTTCTTAATGTTTGTACTATAACAACTTTTGAACCAAGCTTATCTCTGATTTGTTTCCTTATTGCAGTTTCATGTTTTTCTGCTGTAAAGCGGATATCAATTTATAGTTTTTTTTAAATATATGATTAATATGCTGCTATATCACACGCGCTACATAAATTTAAACTATTTGATGAAGAAAGAAACAAAACAGCAGATAAACTTTCAAATATATCAACTTATATATGTTTTTACTGATATTTTTATAATAACGGTAATACATAAATAAAACTGCATATATTCCATAAAACATATACGTATATATTATCTACGTATTATATACATATATATTATATAAAATTTTAAATAGATAATATCTTACTAAAAAGCTTAAACATAAGAAGCCATACATATGTGAAGTGTACATATAAAAGAAGCAGTAAAGTTAAAAAGTGTGTGCATCACTAAATAAAAAGTTTATTGCGCAAAAATAGATATGAAAGTAATCTAATTAGTTAATTACGAGATATAATATAAGCAATACAAAGATATACGCGTGCAGAGATCGGATATTTTTGGGACGGACCTCCTCATACATTTAATAAAAATAGACCTAAATTAATCTTAAAAAGAAATTTTAAAAAATTTGCCTTGTTTAGTTCTTATTAGATATTGTTTTTAATTTTAAAAGTTCACATTAAAATTCCCTTTTTGAGGGAGAGCTTAAAACGATATTAAAAATAAGACATTACATACATTTAAATTGATAGAATGTTATTTTATTTTCCTCTTTAAAGCAGTGGTTTTATACAAATTTTGTATAAAATGATTTTAAATTCAAAATATAAAAATTTTTCTTTTTTGATCTCTGTTAAAATTACAAATATTAAACTTTTGCAACTTTATTAATATAAATTTATTATTATATTATTATTATATAAGTAAGATCCCCTTATAAAACTTTTTCGTATAAAAATATATAGGTTAAATATAAAATATGTTTATATATATCTTCTTTCCTTATATAATCTCTGTCCATGACGGTACTCGGTACTATTTGTTCGAACATCGCAATAAAAAATTTTCATAATGAAAATTGAATGGCTTCAATAGTACTTTAAAACTATAAAAAAAATTTTTTTTAATTATTTATTTGTAACAATTATTTATTTATAAAGAAAAAATGTTTTTTTCTTTATAATTATATTTCTAAAGTACTCTTAATGCCATTCAATTTTCATTATGAAAATTTTTTTCTATCTCTTACAGTTCTGGCGATATTCGCTTCGAAAGAGAAAAATCGATTTTCTTCTAAAGGGTGTTTCACCCCCTAAAAGCCATACGTGCGTATGAACACGTATAAAAAAAATACGTGTCGCTTATTTTGTCTGGAGAATAACATATTAAAAGCTCATTAAAATCAGAGGGAGACAGTTGTGCTCTTTCCTTGTTAGTATAAACACGTCTACTAATGTTGATTTGTATTTACATAAAAAATAATAAAAGATGTATCTCTATTATTTACGTTCGAAGGTTTGTAAACATAATTTGTATTTATTCTCATAATCACGGCTTAGCGAGTTGTTGCAGCCGGCTGAGCCAAGTCGATGAAGACGTACATAATCATCACAATTGATTACTCCATCTCCGTTACAGTCCTTTAATTGCGCTAACATTAGAGTTATGCAAAGATTCATATAACTTGTAATACATCGAAATCTGAATGTCGATCTTACCTTACTGTGTTTAGCCATATAGGCTTGTACCGTATAACCAGCACAATACAAATCATTAACACAATTGCGAAAAGCTAAAAGAAAAAGAATTGATTATGATACACACATTTATCATCATAATTATAAAATTTATATTTATTAATCACTAAAATAATATATATAAATAACATTAGCATACGAACTAATATGAGTCGATTATAAAGAGAAAGGTGATATATATTATAGCTCCTCATTTAAATGTTATACAATAACTTTATTAATAATTAATATTTAAATTTAAAATTTAACAAATACATTCAAAAAAGTGTCGTTCAATCTATTTTAGACTCAAAATTATAAAATATTTATTATTTAGGACATTATTTATAAAAATGTGGCAGCATTTCATAATGGATCGAAAAAAAGTATGAGGGTGATAATGTGGCTTCTCCATAAAAAAAGATTAAAAAATTGATTTGAAAAAATGATTTTGTTTAAAAGTAGTATTTGAATACAAAATTATATATTTATAAATAAAGTATTGCAAAACGTATGCTATATATAATATATACCTACTCAGTACTAAAAATCTATATAATATTTATATGTAACGTATAGAATAACAGTAGGATTATAATTAATTGATTTAGCAAATAATTATTTTTACATGAAAATCTCGAGAAAGTAGTCGTCAGTAATTAACATATGGTACATTAACAAAATACTGTTGTTTAACTTTGCATAACTCGAAATATGTACAGCTAAATAAAATGTTAAATAACGAAATGTTAAATAACAATCCATCCATATCCAAGTGTACATATTCGTGTGATTCAAATTTAAGAAGAATGAAGAATTATATGTACACAATTAAATGCTGAAATATATCTTGAAAACGTTTCAAAATTCTTAAAAGTAAAAATGCATTGTAATAAATGCCGACTACATATTGTGTATTAATTATAAGATTATGTATAATAATAGCGCTATGGTGTAAGAACGAGTGGACAAATAATTATTATCCATAAATATAATTATTATTTTGCTGTCTAGCGAAGATGCCATTATAGCTACGAAGGCCATGATATTATCTTCTCGTCCATTAATACCAATTTAATGCAATAAATGTCGTCGTATTAAATTATCTGCTATGCGGAAAAAATGATGTTATATTATAATATTATTTCTTTCTATATATATAATCAGTAATGTGTATAATCAGTATAGTGTCAGTACTAATTAAAGACATCTAAACATAAATCACATATACATCTATTTTTTTAAATATATAATATTATCTTCTTTCATCTCATTCACGAAATAATGTATAAAAGCAGCGCTGTGTATAAATAAATGAAAAATGAAAATTTTTGCTAATAAATATTCAAAGTTTTTGTAAAAATAACAAACCATCGTCATCACTGCTCGACTCGCCCATTGGAGGTGGTTTGCCAACATCAGTCCAGTAATATTTTGTTATCGAAAATGGTCCACATACCATATTGTTACAACCAATACTAATATTACATCCTGTGCTAACTTCGCATAAACAGCCTAAACAGACTAACGACACGAGTTGAGCTACAATATAACAAAAAATTCGGATATTATCAATATATCAAAGCTAGTATAATTGCAGAGTATGAGTTCCTTAATAAAAATGTTTAGAAAATTCTGAATGTGAAAAAGAATGTAACTTTTCAGAATTTTTATTTCAAACTTTTTCAAAATCTCTATAAGTATAATATTATAATTTTTTAGAAAATCTTTTAGATTTTTTACATAAATTGAAAAGCTTTTCAAAAATGTTGAGAAAGTCTACATCTTCTCTAGAATTCATAGGTATATGAATGTGGAAATATTTAAAAATTTTTAAGACTTAATTTTTATTCTGTAATTTTCGAAAATACATATAAAATCTGAAACACTTTTAAGATAACTTTTTTAGAAATTTTCATAAATTTTAAATGTGAAAAATTCTTAAAAGTATAATTTTTTTACCAAGGTATTATTAAAGACACAGTCATATAGAATCATAAATATATTTAGAAAATATTATTAAATGCAAACTACTATGATAATACGCACTTAATAAAATTCTGGAAACATAGCAATAGTCGGATCCGATAAAAAATTTTACTTTGCGCGTAAATTTAATAAAATATTATTTATATATTATTGAAACTTATATTCGCGTATTATACAAAAGTTCCAAACAAAAATTATGCAAAAATGCTATATTTGTAATAGAGTAATGATAGTACATTTCGAACATGATGGGTACTATCTATAATATAATGGATATTACTTATATGTTTGAAATTATCTATAATAGTTCGATTTTTAAGGAATTTTGAAATGTTTTTTTTTAAATTACCAATTTCTCCAATTTCTATGTGAATGTTGTTCTAGATGTATAACATGTAAACTTTTATAAAATTTATAGTCATTGAATATAATAATGTTTTTCATATACACATTCGAAAGAAAGACGTGTATTATAATTATCACTTTTTCTTAGAAAATGGAACAACATCGATATCTCACCGTAAGTATAAACGCAAAATAACACGATTATTGTCACGGCAATCCATGAGACTCTCGGGAACATCTTGAAAATGCTGCTGTTGCTGCTGCTACTGCAGCTGATCCGCAAATATTTATTACCGAACTATGACTACGTTTACACGGCTCGATTTACGTCGAAGTTAAAACATCGATTATGAAATTGACCAATCATAGCTGTTCCTCTGAAGAATGGAATGACTGTGATTGACCAGTTTCATAATCGATGATATAACTTTGGCATAAATCGAGCCGTGTAAACGTAGTCAATGTTAGTCAACTGATAGTAGATAATCCGCTCTTTGGAGTTGTTTCCGATGATTGCTTTTTTATTACGCTGCTTATTTTTATGTATACAGCGATAGCAACGGAGTAATGAAAAAGTGGTACAGAGATGTGAAAACATAGAACGAATAAAGAAATAAGGAAAAACCATTTCCGAAGAATTTTATTTTATTTTTAAACATTAAAGGAAAAAAAATTTCAAATTTTGAAGTATTGGAAATAATCGTTCAGCCTAGTATGTCCGATAAATACAAAAATTTGTAATTAAGCTACAAATTATATTCATTTAAGATTTTTACGTTAACAAATTGCATTTATATATTTATTCAAAATTGCGGGATTTTAAAAACATTTATTTATGAATATTTATTGTATCTGATGTAAGCTTACAATAATCGCTTACTAGAAATTATTAAACATATTCTTAATAATATATTTCTTTTTACAAATAAGTTTTAGACAATCTAGAATTATTTTTAGCATTTAATAGCTTATTTTGAGTTTAAATTGTTTAAATTAAAGCGTTTTTGTTTACTTTAAAATAAACGTATTCTCAAAATGTTATAATAATTTAAATGTAGAAATGTATAGTTCTTAATAGCAAAGAGACGTCCGTAGGACATCTTGGTGTAATCCAGGGACTTCCTGAGAATATCCTGTAGACCAGTGCTCGGCACTAGATGCACATTTCGGGCTGATTCCGGCGAGCGACCCCCACTACCACTCGAGTCTCAGCGGCCGAGCCGCCGACCGCTCACGTGACGCTCTGGCTCAGGAGCGTCCCTATATCTTAAACGTGCTAGGGTCGTATCTTCCGTCATTGAAGAATCTTTCTTGCTAAATAATTTTTATTTTTTCAAAAAATCAAGTACTAAATTTTCTATTATTAATGTATTAATATGCTCTATATATAATAATATAATTGTAGCAATAATATATAATGTGTATAATATAATTAGAGTTCTTTACAATAGTTTTCCACATCACCCGTGAGGTACTATTGTTGACGCGTTTTTTTTAAAGTGGTTTCCCCAGTAGGCTTATTCCACTGAAAAAGATAATGAAATGTCTGTGGATGTACCGTCTTTAGTGGAATCATGCAAACGACCCAGAAAATCGAATTAATATTTCTATGCAAATTGGTTGTATCAATTTCTTTTGATTCCTGTTTATTTTTATATGTATATTTCATTATACAAAATTTTGCCTTCCTGCCGAGCCATTTCATTATCTTTTTCAGTGGAATAGGCCTACTGGGGAAACCACTTTAAAAAAAACGCGTCAACAATAGTACCTCACGGGTGATGTGGAAAACTATTGTAAAGAACTCTAATTATATTATACACATTATATATTATTGCTACAATTATATTATTATATATAGAGCATATTAATACATTAATAATAGAAAATTTAGTACTTGATTTTTTGAAAAAATAAAAATTATTTAGCAAGAAAGATTCTTCAATGACGGAAGATACGACCCTAGCACGTTTAAGATATAGGGACGCTCCTGAGCCAGAGCGTCACGTGAGCGGTCGACGGCTCGGCCGCTGAGACTCGAGTGGTAGTGGGGGTCGCTCGCCGGAATCAGCCCGAAATGTGCATCTAGTGCCGAGCACTGCTGTAGACTATCAAATGAGCACCTCATTATGTTCTATATACATATATTCACAGAACGTTTAAATCCGAAGTCCTAAAGACATTCATCCGTTGAAAGGACGTCCATCCGTAATCCTTGGGACAATTTTATTACTTATTAATTCCTATATGGCACAGATCTCCAAGAAATATCCTAAAAATATCCTAAAGACGATTGCAGGATGTACCTCGGTCCCTCGGATAAAGTGTGCTGAATTTGCATTTGAAATTTGTACCAACGAAGTTAATGAATATAATAATATTTCATAAAATATTATTATATTCATTAACTTCGTTGGTACAAAAAAATACAATCATATCTCGCACTAATTGTAAGTACATGCAAAAACCCAATACAAATAATTATAACATAGCTGTACATAAACTTTATGGTTATAGAGATGTTGACTAAATTTTAAATGTGAGAAACAAGCAAACCTAGAATATTAGAAAAATCCAAAAACAGATCTCAAGGATTACAGATGGATATCTTTAGGACTTCGGATTAGAATGTTATGGAAGTGTTTAGGATTTTTAGGCGTTTAATTAGGACTAAGGTTCTAAAATTTTCATCTTAATATAATGTCCTAAACGTATTCTATATATGTTCCAGGATATTCAGGATGATCCTGAGGTTGTCTTGTACTGTTAGGGGTTTCTGTGTATAAATGAGAGAGATTCATAGATAATAATATTTGCCAATTAGCAAAGTTTCTCTTTGCTTTATATAGCTTACATGTATCATTTAATACACGATCAAATCGATGAAACTTTAATATATTAAAGTAAATTGGCATAATGCAACTGACGATCCTTGCACTAAAATAAAATATTTGCACATATTTATATTTTGTCTTTTTTTAACGCATGTTTAATAAATGCACAATAATTGTACATTATTATTATACAACAATCGGATAACATTTAAGTGACAAATTGTTATTTACAAAAAGCGAGCAAAGCTAACAAATAAATCTGTTAAGCTGTTAAAAGCCTATAAAATAAAGAAATTGAATTTGTTAATCAATATTAAGTTAATCAATTAAATTAAATCAATTAAGATAAAAAAAGAAATATTATGACTCTAAAACAATGCTTTCTATTCGGGACAAATTTGCTATGTTGTTGAGGAAATAACAGAAGTATAAATGAGAGAGTTTGAAAACTCGAATTTTGTAAAATTTGAGAAGAATTTTAATGAAAAAACGGGATCAGTAAAAACTCCAAATATTAAATTTTTAAAGCCTTTATTGTAAATTTTTTTGTTATTTCTTAGCTATATTAGCGTAAATAAGACATATTGTTATGTGTTAACCATAAAACACAGTCATACAGCATAAACATTATGTAAGTTAAAATTAATACATATGACGGATTAAAACGTTTAAGAGACATCGTATAGACATAGATACGTTTCCTACAAAAATATTTATTGCATATCAAATTCTAAATAAATGAAGTTAGTTTTTATTACATTCGGACAACAATTGGCGAAAACCTTCTTCTCATTGCCGTTATGCGTGTAATATTTTAAGGTTTAATGTGTAATACTTGCGTGCGTATATATATTTTGAATACAATGTTTTTCTTTTTTTTTAATATTTATTTGTTATATCATTCAATTTTGTCTGTTCTGAAGATGACTATATTTATAGTCGAAATGCATGACTTTATTATATCTACTTATATTCATGAAATTTGAATTATATTAACACAATTAACCAACTTGACTCATCAGCGCTCTTTTTATATTTTTTATTTTTAATATATAAAATTATGTATAAAATTAAATAATAAAAGCGCATAGGCGGAGGCATCTTTGCTAAAGATGAAATATTGTATAAAATTTTTAATAAAAATATAAGATGGGCCTATATCGCACAGATGTATTTATATTATAATAATTAATTAATGGATGATTATTAAGTGATAACATAATATATATATGTTATTGATTTTGGAAGGTTCGTAAACACAATTTGAATCTAGTATCATATTTGCTATTAAGCGCACCGGTGCAGCCATTTGCGCCAAGTCGATGAATACGCAGATAATCTTCACAGTCGATCACTCCATTTCCACTACAGTCCTATTTTATTAACATATATTAGATGTTATGGCAAAGATGTTAAGTGTAAACTCATATGAGAATCGAATTACTTACATGACCGAATTTGGCCATATAGTTTTGTACTGCGGCAGCAGCACAGTAAGGATCGTTGACGCATCTGGCATAAGCTGGCATAAAAAAGAAACCATTATTATATATTATAGTATATTATTATTACAGAATTATTATGCTTTATATTAATCAGATTATAAAATTTATGTTCATTATAGCCACTAAAGTAAAAAATGTAGACATACAATTTACACGATTCTATTAACATTGGTTAACCGCAATGTTAATTGTTATGTAAAAAGTTTATATAATACAGTCAATATTATAGAAAGTAACAAAAAATCAGTCAAATTACAATTAAAATTAATTAAATGTCAATTCTAATTAAATTATTAGTTAAATTTGACACATCGAATTTCACATAATATATGTATATATGATCATTATTTTGTTTATTTCTCTGATAGAAAAAACAGAAAAAATAATTTTAATTATACATATAATAAATAAAGAACGAAACTTATTAAATATTCTGATAGAAACGACATTGTATTTCATATTTTTTAAAAATATAAACAAGGTAAGTATACATATTCAAAAAATGAAGTAAATTATTTAATTAAATACTTAAATATTCTTGCAAGAATGTTTTGCATATTTTTCGTTTCTATAATTAATTGATTCTCGAATACGCGCATTTTATACAAATTTTGTAAGCAACGCGTATTGTCTGAGTTCTATGTGTTCTATCAGAAAATTCTAAAAGAAGCATGACTATAAAGAATGAAGAAGAAAGAAAAATTATTTTTATGTGCTTCGATATTATCCAAAGTATTTTGTATAAGAGAATGTAACCCACCATTGTCGCTAAGTGGCTCACTGTTTAGAGTTGGTTTACCAGCGTCGGACCAGTACCCCCATGTTATGGCAAAGGGTCCACATACTGCTTCAGAACACCCGATAGTGGTATTACATCCAGAACTAACTTCGCATATGCAGCCTAGACAGACCTGCGATACAATTTGAGCTGTAATGAAAAATAGAAATGTAAACATTATTAATATAACAATAAAAAGTTATCTTTATAATTACTATTTTATTATAAGCAAAGTATTGTAATTTATCAAAAGTAGAATCGATGAATCGGAAATGTATCTTATAGAGAGTATCTATATCTATATCTATATATGTATATAGATAGAGTATCTATATCTATATCTATTAACTATAGCTTTTTATTCTTCTCAAACAAGAAATATAAGTTAATTTGAATAAAATACCGAAAATATTTATAAGTCTGACAAAATAATTTTAATAAAAAATATTCTGTCTTTATGCTAAATCTTTGAAGTTATGTAAAGTTTATTATACAATCACATTTTATATCTTCAAGTCTACAAAAGAATTAATATTAAAAATTTTCAATATATTTCTCAATTATAAAATCTACTGAGAAATTCCTTAAAGCCCTTATAAAAATTTGATTTAATACTGATTGTATAATTATATTAATCTAATTAATAATAATAACAATAATAACGATAATGGTGAATATTATAATGAAAAATGTAATTAAATTTCTGCATCTTTGCAAATTTTTGAAATAATCTTCACGTTAAGAATAAATTAGAAGTATGAATATATGTCAACATATTTAGACACATGAATTTAGAACACATGATTTAGAACACTTATGACATTACAATAAAAATGTAGAGTTGTTTAGTTACATACATTTATGCAATGTATAATGGAATTGGCATTTTCGGTATGTGATATCACTTACATATACATATATCTCGTAACATTGTGATCGCTTATATATCGAACGCACGGGCGCGGTTGTTTTGCAGCGTCATGGTTAAAAATATAACTCAAATCGTGCGAGGCTCATGAATTTAAACTACAACTCGTTCAGAGATGGCCATGGCAACTATAGGTAGTGGAAATCTTTCTTTATTCGATTCACGATTCTTTATTCGTTTCTTTGTTATCTCTTCTTTGTTATAAGTTATATGACGGATTATCTAAAGTTGGTGAGTTATTTAAACTAAAATCAATCGTCTGGAACAATGATGTTCAACCTTTTTTAACGATCATTTTTAGAGGATCATTTTCAGAAATAGATAAAATCTTACGGACTTCATAATGTTTATTTCGTTTGTATAAAATAGAAAATATGATTTTCACAGGCGAACCGCAGGTTGAACATGATTGATCTAGAACCTAAAAGTGTCTCTCCAGTATTTTATTGAATGAATTATATATACTATTCGAAAAAATCTGTTCACTTGCAGATAATATTCCATACTTTAATATACGTCATAATACGGATTATATGAATTACAACTGTATCTGTGTATTTAACATTTGCAATATGTATTATCAAATTTTATACATTCTATATAAATTCGTACAATATTTCTGCATTCGATTTGAAGTATGTATAATTATGAGAGAATATGTATAATATATGAGTAAACTTCATCAAAGTAATGTGCCAAGGGTAATCACATCATATTATATTTTGAATTAGTTTATGACAATTTAATGGGTTAATGCAGAACTTGTTCCAGCTAACGGTCCGTGTTTTCTGAGCCAGATTACAAACGGATCATCCTGTAACTCCGATCGGTTGGGAGTGGCCTGAAGCGACTTGTTTAATGAAGTCAGGGCCTTTCAATATCTTTTAATCTGTTTGATCGTTAATCACGGATACTGTAATCAATACCGTTAGATCTTTTATCATTATAATCGATAGTTAATAAAACTGTATAATTTAATTCAAGGCCAATACCTTATGAGTGTAAAGTGGATATTGTGTGTGAAACGATCATCTCTTCTTTTCATTTATTGTTAATTTACTTAGGACTAAAAACGATAGCAAAGATCGAATTCAGTTTCGAACCAACTGAGCACTTTTGTGAGTAAAGAATCAAATTGAAGAGTGTTTAAGAAAACCTAAAAAAAGGAAAAGAAAAATAATCATTCTATGCACACAATCACGCTTATTCTCATATAATAAATCTTGAATTGAATTTTATTTGATTGATAAATAAAAGTATTCTACTCATTGATAACTAGTATTTCTTTATAGATTGCTTTTAAAATATATACGCATTAATAATTTTTTAAATATGTATGCTAATTCCATTTTATTTATTTACATTTAATATATATTTTTATCGTTTTATAATTTTAATTAATATTTGTAACATTTTATATAGGCCAAAATTTTTATTACAGTAATAATTGCAACTGTATATAATCTATTATTGCGAGGCTATTGCAATATAACGCAGACAACGATGAAATAATATACGAACATGAAGAAAAGAAACGTGGACATAAATGACATTTACCTTAATGTAATCAAACATGTTTTCTATATTTGGATTTTGTTATCTTAATCATCATTGATGATAAATGGTTAAAACATGACTAAAAAAAAATACTAACTATAACGTCCAAATCAATTGCAAAATTACATTTCTATAGAACCGTGTCAAATAATATTATATGAAACTAACTAGAAACTGTAATGGATTTATAATGATATGATATAATTCATATAATTATAATCACGTAATTTGGTTTTACATAGTAATTGCCAAAAAATATACACGATGCGATTAGAGATTAAAAAAAAAGGAAAAAAGTGAGTATTAAATATAATTTTTAATTCTGGACATGTATACACACACACACACACACACACACACACATATATATTAGAAATTTTATATATTATCTTATTCATTAAATACTATTCCTTTCTTATAAGATTTTAAATCATAATTGTTATTTCTAATGTTATTACAATAACATAACATGAAAAGATTAATCTTTCTTACAGAGATGGAATAAGAAAACTCTTGAATTGATATATCGCATAACAGTCAGGGATGCGGTCATGGATACAGAAATATTTTTAAAGAATTCCACGAGATGTTGACTGCTATTAATAATACACTGCTGATAAGAATTACTGCAGAAACTATAAACGATAGCCGCGCGCGCGCGCGCGGATCCGATTAAATTTTTGTTACAAATTAATCAAAAATTAATACAAAATTTTGCTCTCTTTGTGCGAAACAGTTTAATAAAATATTGCTTAAATATTTAAAACGCTTTATGTAAAAATGAATATAAATACTAAAAAATTATGGAAAACGGACAGCCAATTTGCAAAATAAATTTTAATGTATGAAACCAAGACATTATTTTTTTATTGTTAAATATAATATCTTAAAATGTGTATTTCAAAATTCATAGTTATAAAAACTTTCTAAAATAAATAATATATACTTTCTTACAAAATTTTTAAATATTTAGTTATTACATAGTACAAGTAATACTGTTAAATCACAATTGTCATTTAGACGAAAGTCGCGTGTTATAAATCGCTTTTTTACAATAAAATAAAAAAATATAATTGTAATGAGCTCACCGGAGGTATAAACGCAAAATAGTGCGATTATTGTCACGGCGATCCACGAGACTCTCGCGAACATCTCAGAGATATGTTACTGTTGATCCGTGAGAAGTAACGTCTATTAGCGCACTGTGCTGATCGAGGTGATCCTCGCTTTCGAATGCTTCTCGATCATCGCTTTCTTATATACGGCGATAGCAACGCGTGATGAAGGCGAGGACAAGCGGTGAGGATACGATGACATGGGAAGAGCGGGGAAAGGAAGAACTGTTCATGGCTGAAGGACGAGAATTTCATCGTTGTATGCGTCAGAAGAAAAAGAGAAATAAAATTCCGAACACAGTCGCAGGATTTGGAAATAGCCCTAAAATTAGCGGCCGGACAATGTCTTGTTTTTATATACTTATGTTAAAAATGATTCTAATTCGCGTCAAATAAATTTTTTAAATAATAGCACATGTATATGGAAACTTGAAAAGAATATTTTATATACATATATATATTAAATATATGAATTACATAAACATTTTAAAAAGAATATTTTAAGCATAACAATATTTCGTGCGCGCGTTCTTAAAAATTAGAAGATATTCCACAAATGTCTTACATATAATTTTTATGTCATAATAGCTGAGAAAAAAACAAATTTGCTTCTATTTTATTATTTATCACAAAATTTTCAAAATTATTAAAAGTAATTACGAATATATTTACATATACATCTTATAAATCTTATAATTATATTTAGATATTAATTGATATAACATCTTAATTGGAGTTTATGAAGAATATATATTTATTCTTCTATAGGTATACTATATTTATTATATATTGTGTGACAGTCAATTTCTGACAAATTAATATATGTATCTATATAGACTTGTTTTTTTTAGCTGAACTTCTTGCATAGTTTTTCTCTTTTTTTTCTCCAACGTGGAGAAAAAAGGGAGAAAGATGAACCGTGCAAGAACTTTAGCTAAAAAGAACAGATCTATTACAATTATTCCATAAATAGTTATATTAAAACAATATAATCTAATATACTTTTAGAATCTTACAATATCGTACAGCTCTTACATTATATCTTCTATCTTCCTATTCGAAACTTACAAACTTCGAGAGATATTAAAAACAAAAAATCCTGCATTTTATCGTGAAATACTAGCTCATATTGCAGCGTGTCAATAAAAAAAACCGCATTAGAAAGAAGACAAAAAGAACAATATTAAGATCGATCTAGTTCTGCAACGTTTTATAGCATATTTTAATATTTTAGCAGAAAAGGACAAATTTTGAAATTTAATTCTGCATCTTTTTGCAATTTCTAACGCCTTTTTTAAACAAATAACAGATCGTCTTCATTTCGAAATTTGCAACGTGAAGAAATGTGAAGATTACAACAACCGGATTCCAAGTTCAATGTCAATGCCCTAGGGGCGCGCCTCTCTTCTCGATGGTCTTACAATTGATACTTTTCCTTGGGAACAAGTTTGTAGGGACAGCAGACGCGCGTCAAATAACAACGTGCGGCGTTGTAGCTGTTGCGCCACTGAAATATTATTACCTGAAATTATTCGTTTAAATTTTTACAATAAGAAATTTTGACTCATATTACGAACCAATGAAAGAGAAAATTCCGTTTCTCCATTATATGTATAAATACGTATCCGACGATTAATAGCAGTCAATTGATTGACGTAGGATCGCACATTATTCATCTCATATAGATAAAATGTCTGAAATTCTTCTTCGTAATATAATATAAAATATTAATATATGTTGTACAAGTCTTGTATGAAGCTATGATATCTCTAATTCGTAAACAATAAATAAGAGCAATCTCTAATTTGTTTTCTTATTCTCCTTTTC